CCCAAGTAAACAAAGGCTGAGGGCGTTTGTTATCGCTAGACCTGTCCCGCAAGTAAAGGGAATTTTGTAGTTTGAAATAAAGGACAGTAACTAGAAGGCAAATAAAGAAATATTTATCTCAGTAAAAGTAAATACATGGGTCATTATAAAAGCTAGTGCTATTGTAAGAACAGTTTGTAACTCCACTTTTTGTTTTCACCATGATTTAAGAGAATAATGAATGCATTTTTTTAAAGTATTAGTCTAAAAGCTTGTATTATTGTAACTTTGGTTTATAACTCCACATTTTGTTTTCTACATAAGTTAAGAGACTGATACTTTTACAAAAACAATTATTTTATGTTTTCACACATTCAACATACAGGGATGTAATTTTGGGACATCCGTAAGTGAAAGGAGCAGGGATGGAGCTATAACGAGCAGAGTTTTTGTATGTTGTTGAAGTTAAATTGGGATACATTTAAACTGAGTGTTATAACTTTAGGATATTAACTGGAATTGCCATGGTAACCACAAAGAAAATAGTTATAGGATATACACCACAGGAAATGAGTAGGGAATTAAAACATTTCACTGCAAAAAGTCAAATAAACACAAAAGAGGCAGTAAATGAGGGACTAAAAAAATACAAGACATATAGATAACAAATAGCAAGATAACACAAGTTTCTCCTTATTAATAAATATTTTAAGTATAAATAGATTATTCTCTGTATTTATATGTTGTTTCTGTTATAGTTTGTGTTTTCTTTATATTCACATATAGGTTAAATCATACAGTATTTATCTTTCTCTTAGCATATCACTTAGCATAATACATTTGTGTCCATCCATGTTGTCACAGATGGGGAGATTTCATTCTTTATTATTGCTAAGTGATATACCGAATCTTCTTTATCCATTCATCTGTCAGTGAACACCTAGGTTGCTCTTATATCTTGGCTATTATAAATAATGCTGCAATGAAAAAAGTGAAAGTGAATAAGAGCTACAAACTTCCAGTTATAAAATAAATGTCATGGGGATGTAATGTTAATGTAGTTAATGATATTGTAATAACTTTGTATTCTGGCAGATAGAGTTACCATGGTGACCACTTCATAAAGTACATAAATGTTGAATCACTAAGTTGTACACCTGAAACTGATATAATATTGTATGTCAACTATACTGTATTAAAAAATAAATTTAAAATTTAAAATACACACACACACACACACACACACAGCTCTGGACGGGTAGCTCAGTTGATTAGAGCATCATCTTGATATGCCAAGGTGTGGATTCAGTCCCACCCCTTCCCCCCATGGCCAAATCTTTGTAGTTGCAAGTCCTTGTTTTTGTCCTGAAATATTACAATCACCTGCTCAGTCATATCATCGGCATGAATCACTCCCTCACTTTTGGTCTGTGTCATGTAATTTACTTATTTATAAACCAAATTAAATTCAGAGGAAGGGGGAGTGGTAGTCAGTCTTCCCTGGTCGCTGGCACCACTGCCCCTTTTGTGGACCTCACAGTTTATTCTAAGACAGGAAGCTCCTCTGCCTCATGCCAGCCTCAACCACAGGGTGAGGCCTGTGCTCACCACTGGGCACTGCTGAGCTTCAGGTGCCCTTGACGTTCCTGGGACAGTGCAGTACCTCAACTTGTTTCTCCTCAAGGTTCCTAAAGTGATAGCATCCTGGGGGTGAACCCCAAGATGAAACGTATCTCCATCCCTTTCTCGGTCTGAAACCAAACCAAAACAACAACAATTGGATCACCTTGATGGTGTTAAGCTCTGAAAATTCAAGTTTGGCTCACCAGCCTTACAACTTTTCCTTATCACCACTGTGGCAAAGGAAAAGAATAGACTCCAAAAGTTAGTTAACTACTTTCACATCCAAAGAAATCTCAGACCTCAAATCTCACACCAAAAACCTGATGGAGGTGTAGCGGTGGGGGTGGGACAAGATTCCTTTTACTAGGTAACAAGAGTAGCTTTCTCGCTCTTTCTGCTGTTTAGAAACTTAGGGACAAAGAAAATAGGGAACATAGAACAATTATAACACAAGGTAATGCTTATAATTGCAATAGAAGTTTCAAGAGAGAGCTTCATTGTCAAGAAAAAGACTGGTAATATCTGTTCCTTCCACCTTCAGTAACATTATTCTGAAACCTTCCGCCTTGATGCACAAGAATCTCCTTTGTAAAATATTTTGTTGTCCCCCTGATCTATGGAACAAATTCTAGATGCCCACTTCCCATAGCAAACCTGCCATGACAACCCAGTCCAATCCACTTTCTCTGAACGCCTGTTATTAGCATGCCACTCAAGGTCACTTGTGGCTGAAATTATTCTATGGTCCTTATTTTCTCCCCACCCCCCACTCCCACCAATAAGCTTCAAAGTTCCTATGCACAAGGAAAAGCTAAAAAGCTATTCTTGCTACCCAAATTTCCCGTGAAGATATGATTCCAGTATGAGAAGGTGGCTTTTCTCAGCAGCATAATCAAAGGCTAACACAATTGCATGCCCTTAAAAGAATTAACAGGTTCTTCCCAGCGGTCTTCTGCCCTTTGGAATAATTTTACTTGATTTGTTTCTCCACTTGGATGGTCAAAATGTAGTCTAAAATGTATCCCTTCAAATAGGTTAATACATAGACTGAATGAAGAATCTTGAATTGCCTAGTAAAATGTCAGTGAACTAGATTGGAAATAATAGAAATAAAATCTTCCAATGGGCTTCCTCGACAGCTTGTGGGGGTTATACACGGCAGTGGCTCCTGCTGTCTTCCAGGCCATGGAGCACATGGAAAATGATAGTGTTTACTCAGCACACGGGCCATTCTGGGGCAAGTGACTGTCTCTGCCACCTAATCCTTACAGGGACACCTTGCAGCTCATTAAGGGCTCACTGGTTAGAAAGCCGTGCAGGATGAAACCACATCTTCACATTTATCTGCTGCCGTTTAAAAAAAATGACAGTAACAACAAAAATGTTAAAATGCCGCAGCCGAATCCTCGCCCTCTCCTTGTTTTTGTTTTCAACCTTGACAATGTCCAAGGTCACAAAACCAGTCTTCCATACGCCATCAGGAGTGCGAATGCCCTGTATGCACAATAATTGAAACAGTTTTCTGATGCGTTCCTCCATCTCTTCCTTTATAAAGAAAAAAGAACTCATCCATCTTCTAGCTACTACAGAACTCAGGTTTGTCTTACAATGGCTAGTGGGTTGTGGGGGTTAAGGAACTGATAAATTCATCAGCATGCTGAGCTCCACATGGTAAACTGTTAGCCAGAGTTGAATGTGACTTAATAATAAATAGATAAAGCAAGTTGCTCAGAGGAGTGCCCAGGTGCAAAAGATCTTCTCCAAACAATTTTAAGTGCTGTCATTAGAAAATAAATATGCTGTCCGGAAACTGGTTCAGAGGTCACTGGTTCGATTCCTGGTCAGGGCACATGCCCAGGTTGTAGGCTCAATCCCCAGGAGGGTGTGTGCAGGAGGCAGCCAATAGATGTCTCTTTCTCATCGATGTTTCTATCTCTCCCTTCCTCTCTCTCTCAAAATGAAACAACTACAAAAAAAATATTAAAAGAAAGTAAATGTGCTACATTTAGGGGTTTTCAGGCAAACCATTTTGTCACACATTTCTCAGCTATCATAAAGTGAATGAAGACATTTTCCTATTTCAGTAATTTCCACATCAGCATTTTTTGATCCAAGCTAAAATAAGTCACCTATACATAGATAGGACAAGAGAAGATACCAAAATTACAAGGGCTTATGTTTTATTTTTTACTGCCTGGAATTAAGATATCGTTGCTTCCTCCCAAGAGGTTCCTTTTCCTACCCCCAGGCACTAAGCACAAGAGAATTAGACAGCTAAAAAGAGGCTATCCCTTACAGGCATGTATGGAGGGAAAATATTTCAAATAGTTTTTAGCTGTTAGCTAAACATGTCTAATAAGGGATGGGAGGTAAGGAAGGGATTTAACTTTGGACATGTGCCAATTCTAAATGAAAAATTCAAGAACAGCCAACTTTGCTGCAGGCACTCATTTACTTAGTTCCAGGAGTAAATTAATGGAACAGAATTGGAAGCTGCAGGTGGGATGAATTAATTGTCTTGCGGGGTTATTGGCTGTGCCTAAAGTGCTTTGTAAACTAGAAGTACTCCATAAAGATGTCATTATAAGTACCTTTGTCATTGGGAGTGGCAAAATTAATAATGATAAAACAAATTAAGGATGCAAAGTTGGATTTTATTTTATTTTCACATGAGGAAAAACATGTCAAATTAGGAAATGTTATATGGTAGAACCATACCAGGAAATCCTATCATTGAGACAAGCAGATTATCCAGTTACTCTGGTTCAAAAGACACCTAGTTATATATTATTTGTAAAGCTTCTCTCCCTCACCTTAAATGTTTCTCTTTGCTTCATAGGGGCCAGAACACAGAAGTAATATATCGATCATGCTCTTCACATATTTGCAGTGTGACTCTTGTAAAATAATACAGGTCCCAACATAGCTCCCATCAAAGCATTTTTGTGGTTACGTTAGAATTACTGTGTTTTCTTGACTTCTGTGAATGCCAAGTAGTAAACTACTGATTGTTAACATCTATCCATGCCTAGGTCCTCAGTAACCCTTGTGTGTTAAATGCTTTCCACATATTTACTAACTTAATCTTAACAAAAATCTTGTGAGATCTGTCCCACCATTGTTCTTGCTTTATAGATGTGAAAAGCTGAGGTTTAGAGGCAATGAAATAACTTGCCCAAAGGTTCAATCTAAGACCATGCATACACCATGAGGAAATACTGTGTTCTCTGTATGTGCTCACAGTTACCCAATGGAGACTAATTCAGTAACGGGAAACAGACAAGATTGCATTAATCTTATCTCTTGTGTTTCTTTTTCTCCCCTGTTCCCACCTCTCCCTCTGTCCTCTTCCTCCATTTTACCCTCATTTCAACTCTTCCCTTTATTTTTTCTTAAAGGCAAATATGCCATGCGAGACCTGGTCCACAGGCTTCCAGGCGGGAACAACAGCAACAATGCAGCAAGCAAGGCCATGTCGGATGACACAGTGACAGCCGTCTGCTGCACCCTACACGAAGTGATCACCAAGAACATGGAGAACGCCAAGGCCTTACGGGATGCAGGTGGCATCGAGAAGTTGGTTGGCATCTCCAAAAGCAAAGGAGATAAGTAAGTCAGATGGTATTGGTAGAATGGGTTCTAAGTGTGCCCGACAGTCCCTGGTAATGGGTAATACTATCGAATGTCACTGGAAAGCATTTGGCTCTGATAATCAAGAGAACAAAAACAGCAAATGGTTTCCAGTCTTCCCACCCCAGAGTGAAAGCTAGTCTCACTGGTAATTTCAATTTGATTAATAACTCATGACTCGGTTGACTACTGTGGTATTGGGAGGTTCTTTCACTATAGATTATCCCAGAAATGTTCTTTATTTGAATGAAATTTCTTTATGGAATAGTCACTTGTTGCATCTCACTGTTCCTTTATCTTTTTTTTTCCACAATGTTAACAATCTGGATTTACATGATTTTATAAGAAGTGTTGCACTGAGTTGAGTCAAGCATCTTCCAAGTTATAGTCAGTTTCATTCATTCTTTCATGTGATTTATCTCCTGTTTATATAGTGGCTAATTTGGAGTTCAAAACTGGTTTTTATAGCTGCAGATATCCTCCTCTCTCACATTTATTTGGTTATTACCTCTCACCTCTCTTAAAATGAATCCAGAAGCATTGGTCTGAATCTCAGCACTAAACTCACCATTCATCATTCAGCTGTTACAACAGTAGTCAGAGAGAGACATCCTGTCCTTCTAGACAGGCTTTAATAAAATAGAAGTTCTTTATTGAAAATGAAAGTTTGGGAATTGGGGATGATTTTATAATTGGAAAAGGGAGGAATATAAATTTACTATAGTTAATTAATAAAATGCTTGCAAATCTGTCTGCCTTATATTGTCCTTTAAAAAGCATTTATAGAAATAAGTTTAATTCAAACCTGGTTTTTAAATTTAATATGAGAAAACACAAATAAAAATATGGACCTACCTATGGTTTTCCATGTTACGTATCTATAAGTTTTATTTTTAAACTAGAGGCCTGGTTCACGGATTTGTCCACCAGTGGGGTCTCTTGGCCTGGCCTGTGCCCTCTTGCAATCCGGGACCCCTCGGGGGATGTCGGACTGCTGGTTTCAGCCCAATTCCCTGCAGGCCAGGCCGAGGGACCCCACTGGTGCACGAATCCGTGTACCAGGCCTCTAGTATGCATATAAGATCTTTGGTTAATTTCTTCCCACCCTCTCCTCTCCCCGCTTCCCTCTGAGATTCATCAGTCTGTTCCATGTTTCCATGCCTGTGCGTTGAGTATCTGCCCCTGGTGGTTAGTGCACGTCATAGCTACCGGCTGAACGGTTGCTTAGGCTTTTATATATAGATATCCACAGACTTAAACATGGATGATATTAATGAGTCACACTGTCAAGGTGCCAATCACAATCTGTTTTAGCTGCACAACACACTGTGTCTTGTGAACACAACCCTGGGAGTGGTGGTCTGGGTTCCTACTGCTGGAATGACTGTTTCAAACACCCACTATCAACTGAACCAACTGAAATCTTCAGCCGCCCTAATTTGACACCTCTGGTGAAGATCAGACATTGTGTAATTGTTAATGACTCTTACAGGAGCTGTATACATGCCATTTTGCAGTCTCAATAACATATATTATGCTGTTCACACCATTTTAAACACCCATTATGGACATCCTGTCACATCCATCTGTTTTAAAAGTACATTTGTTTTTTTTCTAATTTTAACAGTTATATAGGAAATAGTGTTGAATGTGCCATTGTATTTTGTCATAAGACAGAAAAGCCACTAACACACTCAACTGCTACTTGTCAGTAAGGAAGTGTGTATTGTGGCTGAGGTTAAAATCACTTGTCACATTTAAAACACTCAATTGTTCAAGTCCTTCAATCAATAGGTATAGTTTTTCAAGTAGAAGTTGCTATGGCACCACTCTAGTGGATGGATTTATGTTAAAGGCCTTAAGAAAGCAATGATTCTTTAACCTTCGCATGTTATTATAACACTGAGCTGTATTGGCATTTTAATTGAAAGGTTAAAACCTGCTATCATTACACATGCACGGACTTTATTTTGTAACTAAGCAAGAAGTAGAAACAAAAAATTACTCTGTGTCAGAGGAATTTTTGCATAATTAGTACATATGTTTCAACTACATTATCACTACCTGAATATTAATGTTTCTCTAGAGTTGTTTGATTATTGTCATGGATAAATATCTAGCTAACAATGATAAAACACAGCAAAACATAGGATTTTATCTTTGTTCAGCATTAATTGTATGAGATTAAAAGGTACCTGTATCTATATCCACGTAGAGATCTGAAATTCTCTGCCTTTAAGTCAAAGGAATTTAATATTACATTTAGAGCATGGTACTGGCATAAATTATGAACTCATTTAGCAATCATCCATTTTAGTAAAACGAAAATATGTCTGTTACTTAACTATAATTCATCTCTCATAGAGGAACATAATTTAGAATTTATAATAACTCTATATTTTTTCTTTTAAAAGTACATGATATAACTAATAGATTTACCAACAGCCAATACTGAATTCCATCTCAGTAATAATAATAGTAAGAGTGATTGTTACTATTGCCAGTGAAGAAACCTTAGACTTAGTTGGTCTAAATTGCTAACATGAAGATCCAGGAAAATAGCACACATTTAATTGACCATGTATTAACATCCCATAATTTCTTTACAAAATGCTTGTTCTTGCAACATCCATTTTACTCCAGCTCTCAAATCCAACCTCAACCTGGTCCCATCTAACCATCTGCTCACATTCTATTTCAAAGGCATTTGTGGTCTCGATTCAGATATTCTCTCTCAGGGTGTCGATGGGCCACTGCCTCATGGGTCAGCTTTGGGAGTGGACTTTGCATTGGTTCTAATCTGTGCAGCTCCAGGAGTCACCATTCAGATAGACCAGGATAGGCAAACTATGTGGCTCCTGGGCCAGATCTCACCCACCACCTGCTTTTGTAAATTACACTTGATTGGCACAGCCACATCATTCCGTTATGTATTATTTATGACTCCTCTCATGCTACAATGGCAGAATTGAGTAGCTGCAACTGAGACCGTATGGCCCCCAAAACAGAGAATATTGGTTATCTGATCCTTTATAGAAAAAGTGTGCCAGCCCCTGATATGGGCATGAGGTCAGTGGCAGCCATTAGACTTGGGTTGTAGAACCAGCCTGTTAGAACAAAGAATCCGCAGGTAGCTAATAGTTTTCCCTCACCACTAGTCTAAGTGACTTCCAAGAAGTTGATAGAATTACACCCACATGGACATATTGATCTGTCTGTTTTGAGATGCAGAGTGACACTGAACCAAAAGGCAAAATATTTAGTTATAGTTTCACAGGGATTTCAAAGCCATGACTCAAAAATTAAATGGTAAGAACCACTAATCCAAAGGTCTAATGTGACCTTACTTTCTCACTATGGCCCAAAGGATGGAACGTTAATCGTAGGAAGGGTTGTCTTATAGATGCTTTCTCTTCCTCTGTGTACCTGTGAGAGCACACCCGGCAGCATGTGCCCACTGTCTGTGGCTCTGCCAATCTCTTGCTCTTGGCATCGGCAGCAGGTGAAGAACAAGTCCCTGCAGCCAGGCAGGCATGTAGAGCCAACACTGGCTATGCTCTCACGCTTCCGCTGAGAAGATGAATATCATGTTCATCTAACTGCACAGGTGCTGCACAACGTGCTGTTAAAACCCCCGAATCTGGCCCTTCCTAATCGCTATTTTTCTCTTCTGTTTCATAGTCAGATGCTAAACTTGTGCCTTCTGACTCTTCTGTTTGCATTTTTGACATTCTTTGGCAAACTGTGGTGTGCTCCTGTCTCCTGCCCTCAGGGGTGTGTTGATGAGAATGAGGCTGGAGACTGGTGAACTATCAGCTGTGCTCCCCAGGCTGAGAGGAACATCCAGGAAGCCAGGAGGATGTCTGTTCTTGCCACGTCCTGACAATCGTGTGTCCACTCACTATCTTGCATGTCCTGTCTTTTCTTACCAGACATTCTCCCAAAGTGGTCAAGGCCGCATCTCAGGTCCTCAACAGCATGTGGCAGTACCGAGACCTGAGGAGTCTCTACAAAAAGGTAAGGTTTGCTTTACCCTCTGGGCTCATGAGCGATACACACCCCTCAGCCAAAGGACACTATACCTGGTCCTAGCACGATGCATCCTAGATGTGGAGGTTACTTGTCCCAACAGTCTGAGTAATGGAAGCAACTGAAAGGGAAGAATTGATGACGAAGCAGAAGAAACAAGTCACCAAGTGTCCCCTGGACATACACCAAGACCCAGGAACTTTCTGGATTGGACAGATCCGCACTCATAGGGCCTTAGCCTAGCTCTTCTGACAAGAAACAAAATTAGCTTTTTTCCCCTGAGCTTCCATATTTTATGATCAACTAAAAATTAATGAACTAAGGGATTTTGTAAAAGAAATTAAAAAAAAAAACAGACAAACAGCAAGCATCAACAAGTAATTGTGGAGAGGAGACAGAAAGAAATAGAAAAAGCAATTCAGGAAGTCCAGGAACACTGGTGGAAGGCCCAACAGTCTGACCCGTGTTCCCAGCCCAGCCCTCACCAGGTTCCTGCCGCCAGCCGGCCACGGAGCGTGAGGAAGAAGCTGAGTGTTCAGTGCCCTCTCTCAAGGCAGGCAGGAAATTTTTTAAATACATTTCAAAGAATTCTTCATCCCCAAAATGGTTTACAAATAAAACCTGAAGAGAAAAATGTTGCATCTAGAAACTTAGATTCTACACCTCATTTCCAAATACTACTAAAATGGTATGCATAGCTTCTCTTTTTTTGCTTAGGAGGGGAGAATTCTTTAACAAGGTTTCCCAGAAGTTGTTGTTTTGTTGTTACCAGACCAGCAAACATGGGTAGTTTAAATGACTGGTGATTGCACAGTAGGTTTGAGTTAACAAATAGGGGAGGAAAACATCAGCGATTTCTGTGGGGACTCAGAAAGCATAGCCTGGGCTGGAGGAGAGGCATGGGCTTCCATCGACAACTGCCCCCGTGCCTCCTTGCAGCCCCTGGTGGCCGGCATGGTGGAGGAGCAGGAGAGAGAGCCCCCATGTCTTCGCCTGCCTCCCAGCCTACCAGTTCTGGGCTGGGGGTGATGTTCAGCAGCAAGAAGCCCACATCAGAGAAAGCAAAACCCATCTTGCCAGAGGGAAAATTTGTCCTTTGTTAAGCCGATGGGAAAATATAAATACTTAATAACTGGCTCTACTTACGTATAGTCTATTTCTCGATTTCCCCAAGGCCTTCCTATTTCCCTTAGGAGTTCATACTTTGCACTTTAAATTTATGAAGTTTAGCCTATGTATTTCCCTTTCAAGATTTTCCTATCCCCTGAGAGGAAGCTGAAATAGAGATTGCAAAATGCAGTGTGAAAGGAGCATTCTAGATGAATTATATCCTCTCCTACCGAGTATGCATATTAGGGTAAACCAGCGGTTCTCAACCTGTGGGTCGCGACCCCTTTGGTGGTCAACCGACCCTTTCACAGGGGTCGCCTAAAACCATCCTGCTTCAGCTAAACAGGCAGCGAGACAAGAAGGACTCGCCATAAGTTAGAAAGGAGCCTGTCATTCTGAATCAGTGGTTCCAGAAGCTCCGAGAAATATTAGTGCCTCAAATAAACTCCACTCTACCTCCGATCCTTTGCTGAAATAATCCTTCTCGTATGTGCATTGGAGGGAAACTGCTCTGGGAGACTCAACAAGTTACTTGTTCTTGAGTAGTATGAGTTTTCAATCCTACTTTTTTTTCTATGTCAGTGGTAGAGTTCAAAAAGTATCATTGTCTTTCTGTTTCCATGTTAAAAAATAAAAAAGATGTGTTGACAGGAATTTAATGGAGCTAAAACTTGAAAGTGAAAGATGGTTTAAAATGTGTTTCATGCGAGGAGATTCGAGAAGCATGAGCTGGAGAAACTGTCGGTGATGTTTTTAATTGACCCGTGACGAGAAAGGATGGAGAAGGAGCTGATGTTAATAATTCTCAAGTTACGCAGATGTGAAAGGAAGTGAGGACCTCTGTGCTCAGTATCTTAAGTGCTACTAATAGCAAAGCTGAACATTCACAAAAGCATTTCTTTTGGAAACTCCCATTTGGGGAGAAAACCGAATTCATTCATCCTCGGGAATTGTTTTTATTCAGTGGGGGAATAGACCTCTATCTTGTTCTTCTTTTACAATTTTCATATCATTAAAAAAAATGATCCATATCTTCTACTTATCTGTGCGTCAGATCTATTTACTAAACACCTAATATAGGCTTAGAACAGGCAGAGTTTCAGAGAAAACACAAGAGCTGGAGAGTAGCTACCCTGGGTGAAAATGAAATATGGAATAATTATTGGCAACTTTATTCAGTTTGGAATTATACACCACAGATGTTAAGGGATGAATTAAGAGTAGGAAAATTGTCGAGCAAAATCTTAAAACATTCATGGAGTTTGCATAGATTGGGAGAAAAGAGGTGAGGGCATTAAGGATAAAAGGAAAAAGATGAGTGAAGACAAGAAATTTGAAATGAAAATGGCAAATCTATGGGACAGAATTAAAGGCCCATCTGTCCCTGGCTTATTTCTTCCTAGAACCCAGGCAGGGAGGCTGGCATCTCATTTTATGAGCTCAACTCCTTCATTTTACTTAGAGATGTATTTAATACATCAAAGTATTCTTCTGGCCGAGTGTGTTGACCAATACGAAATGATGTTCAATTCCTTAGAGCGAAAACATATTTGTGTTATCCAGACCTTCAACTTCAGGGAGGCCTGGACTTCGGGTTCTCCCCGAAGGGAAAACAAGAACAGGAGAATATTATCACACACCGTCTAAGTAATGCATTGCTTTAGAAAAATAAATAAATAAGCCAGTCCCCACATTTAGATAACCACAAATAGAACTTTAACATTTCCTTATCACCTGTGTCATTGCAGAAGATGTTTTCTAAAGGAAAAGAAGATGAGCCTTAGGAACAGGCCTGACATGGGGATAAAAGAGAATCAGGAGATCAAAAGTTCTTGACTTCTTTGAACCTTGGTACTTTAAAAAACGAGGCCACTGACCTACTGGAGTACCTATGTTTGACTATGTTGAAGACTGTTGGGACAGCTGGTTTGGGAAGAAAGTAGATAAATCTTTCTTTTATTGGGGGGATGGACATAGAATTATAAAATTACAGAAATCATTGCTTACAATTCCTGATATAATATCTTAACAATCTGTACACATCCAAAAAATAGTTATACTAATCTGAACACAGCATTCTAGCAGAGGGACTCAAAAATACAGAAGCCCAAGCTACACAGGTATCTCTTTCCCTCTCATGATATCTGGTTAGGCAGGTGGCCTGGGACCAGTGTGTGATCCTGGGATTGTCCTGTTGCTTTGCCTGACATGGGAGTGCCGTCCTTGCCTGTGTGGGCAAAGCCCCCTAGCCCTTCCCCCTCTCACTGCAGCCCGTAGGAAGGGAGAGGGGAGAGAGGGCAGGTGATGTCCTTTTAAGCAACTGGTACAAAAGTTGTCAGACTCCTGCTCACATCCCAGGACCAAGAACTCAGTCATACCACACGTCCTGCTGGGAGGGAGGACGGGCAAGGTGGCAGCGAGGCCTTTGTGGCAGGAGGAAGGTAGTTACATTACCAGAGGCAAAAAGGCAGTATTGGCTCCTTTCATTTTGTTCAAATACCTTTAATATCAATTGCAATTACTACCTAATGAGGCATATTATTCCATTTCAGAAAGGCTGTGCTTATTCAGAGCTTCTTACTTGCATTAAGCAAAAATCTTTATCTGACGCTTCTGCCCTTCAACTCCATTCTGCAAAAGTCAAATTTCTCTTCCTTCTGAAAGCCTTACCCTCTGTAACATAGCCATCCCGTCCCACAAGGCCGGCCCTTCCCAGGCCCGACATGCTCAGCTCTCATACACGGGCATTGCCATGGCCTTCACCATTGTGTTCCCTTTTTCCCACATGCATGCAAGTTCAACAGCACCCCTTCTGCAATGTAGCTCCCAAAATGAATCTGTCCCTCCAAAGGTTTTTTTTAATGTATTTTTATTGATTTCAGAGAGGAAGGGAGAGGGAGAGGGAGATAGAAACATCAATGATAAGAAAGAATCATTGATTGGCTGCCTGCTGCACACTTCACACTAGGGATTGAATCTGCAATGATAAGAAAGAATCGTTGATTGGCTGCCTGCTGCACACCTCACACTAGGGATCGAATCTGTAAGCCAGGCATGTGCCCTGACCGAGAATCGAACCATGACCATGACCTCCTGGTTCATAGGTCGATGCTCAACCACTGAGCCACGTTCGGGTGGGACCCTCCAAGTTTTTTTTGAAGCAGAAGAAAGAGATGAGCTGATCCTTCCCTGAGGCTGAGACTCCCACTACTAACAAAGCTAGGGAGCGAATAGTGTCTGAGAGGCTCTTTACACTAGTTGGTGAAGTACAAAGAGCAAAGCACTTAGAATCAAATGGCCAGAGGTTAAAGGCACCTGCCTGCCACCTACCAGCAGTGTGACGTTGGGCAAGTTTTCTTGAGCCCCCTTGCCCATCAGCGTAGAATTGACTTTGGCTGAGGGGCAACAAGGAACCCTCTGATTCACCAGGCCTCTCGGTCAGCACGCTGGACTTGTTCTCTCTCCAGTTATCCAAACCTGTGAGCATCCCTTCCTACCGGTCTCCGGGAGACCAAATACCCCCTTAAAATGGTCTGTGGCAGTTCTCCTACCTGGCACAATGTTCTCTCCAGACTGCTGGACATGACCTCAGGGCCGTAGGGGTTTGTGCACCAGAGTTGAACTTTCCTGAACCCTTGCATCATAGAACCTTCGCATCTTTTCATGGAGATTGCGGCATCTCTCTGTCAGTCCAACCGCAGTCGCTTGGGTTCCTCATCCATGAAGTGAGCAGCATAACAGTGGCTTTCCAGGATTGCTGATTGTCCCCAATGTGACAGCAGTCAGCAGAGAGCTCCATAAACTGGAGAGGCATATACCAACAAGACCACTGTTGTTAATTCTAAGACATTTCTCCATGCTGCTTGGCTGATAGATGC